TTCATATATATATATATATATATATATATATATATATTAAAACTCATATATAGATATTTATACTTAAACACAAATTCATATATATATATATTAAATCTTCTGAAATGCATTTGTGTAAATGCAGTAAGTAATAAAGTTACCTGAATGCATTAGTCTACTTGTAGCTCATATGACATCTTGTAAAACTGAACCATTCTCACCCTGCAGAATTCTTTAGCAACAATGGTCAGCTCTTATTGCTACATCTCAATCTCCTCATGATACGATAGTATTTCATAGATTTTATCTCTTGCTTATCACATTCAACTGCAGATGCTTTGAAAAGTCTTTCTGAGAAAATGTGCCACAGATCCATACCATTCAATCGATGCTGCTGAACGCATTCAGTTTCATTTTACATTTGACAATACCATCAAAGTTTTCTTCCCCTCCTTTCTTTTACGGGCAGGCACCATTTTTCATTTTCACAATTACAGAACCTTGATGACTCAATGAAAAGTTTCACTTCTTTCTGTTACAGACAAAATCAATTATCTAAAACACAGACAAAACTGTTAGCAAGATATCATTGCATATGTGATCTCGTGAGTAGTTTGGAGTTTATTTGAATCATTTCAGAATAGTATTCATTTAAAGATTTACAAATGTGAATATTCAAATTGAAAAATGGGAAATTTTAAATTTATTTATATAACTTATAAGATTTTCTTTGCTTGTCACATTCAATGAAACATATAAAAGAGACGTTGCTGCATATATATATATATATTATAAATTAACTGATTTAAAATATGGTTTCTTCACTACACAGTAATTACTATGTTTCAAAAACCAAAGCTAAAAAGTTCAAATTTAATTATATAATTAAATTAAAAGCATTAGTTCTGTTTCATGTTCAAGCAAATTTTCCTATAAGTTTTGAGAATTTGCTTGAAGATGAAGCAGAACTAATGCTTTTAATTTAATTATATAATTAAATTTGAAGCTTTTAACTTCGGATTTTGAAACATGGTAATTCCTGTGTAGCAAAGAAACAATATTTTAAATCAGTTAATTTATAATATTTACGCTCAGTAACTTTACATTGAGCACTGTTTTGTAAAAATAAAATTTCAATAAGAACTCCGGATTATATATCTTACTGTTTTTTTCTTTTTATTATAATATATATATATATATATATATATATATATATATATATATATATATATATATATTCTCTGCTCCTTCAATAGGAACAGATAGTTCATTTTCTAACAGGAATTCTTCTTGTGTTTATGTAGAAAACACATGTATTCCAGCATGATTTTTCCCATAGTAATTATTGTGAACTCAAATGTGAGTCCAAATAATAAATGATTAACACAAAACAATATAAAACAAACAACAAAGCATGTATTAACTAAAGAATTATGATTGTAGTGGAACACACCTATTCTATAGTTAATAAACTCTCCCACCTATAATAAGTAGGAGTAGTAGTAACAAGTCGTCGCAGTGAGTTGGTCAGTCAGTCGATGTCGGACGACCGTTAGTCGGATACTAAAGTATCAGCGACTACAACTAGATTACTGCGTCATTACCTATTATATGAAGTTCCTAACGTTTTGTACGTCGAACCTATTTTAGGACCGACTTAGTACAAATACAAGCCACCACTGTGAAACCACTCCATAACAGAATATCATCCCAGTATGTATAAACGGACCTTATAAAGAGTGAAATGAAACTAAAGTTTTTTTTGGAAATTAATTTCACAAAGAGCCGCCCCATTTTTTTTTCGAAAGATTGAATCAAATCGTTTGAATTCAAATTCTAACATCTCAAATCAGCTCTAGGACGACTAAACATTGTCAACCTAATACCGCCGTAACACCACCCTGACAATTCATCTCCAGGACAACTCACCGCCAGTATATTCAGCGAAGAAACAACTCAACGACATAGAAACTATGAAACTTTTTCGTCGTCATTTTAATAACGAAAAATGTAATTCATTAAGGATCATTTTAAAACAAAACTTTTAAAACCGAATAAAATGTAATTTATTAACGATCATTTTTGATGCATGACCTTTTTTTTATTTAAAATGCCTTGGCCATTTAGAGCCTTGATACAATGTCAAAAACTGTATGTTGTCTCATACCAAGGTTATCAAATACAATTTTTTCTTTTGACAATTTTTTCCTTTTCTCTTATTAAGAATTTCCATTTTGGGTGTGAGTGAAAAAATTGAAAATTAAACACCATTCAGCCAAAACAATTTAAAAAAAAGCCTAATATCCCAGAAAACCTCTACGGTTTAATAAAGATTTGAGAGAATATAATTATATTATCAACACCGGTATTTTTAGTTCTGAAAATAATTTTCAAGTTTTTGAATTCATGTTTAAATGGAGTTGTAAAAATATTTGTTCATAAGGTTTTGAATCATATTTTTTGAGGCTTCTTGGTAGTTTTTTTTTTTTTTTTTTTTTAACGTTTCAAATAAAGCTGAATGTTTGTCAATAAAGGATGAAGGGGTTGCGTCTTTTTGGAGCAAAACCCACGTTGTGATAGAAGAAAATAAACTTGTATCAAGTGGATAGATAAGGCCTGGAGATTCGATTAACATTACATTTGAATAGCTTGAGATTATAGCCCTGGGAAACTGGAATAGGGAAGGGTGTTCGATCCACTCCAGTTGCGAGACATAATCTTGGACGTGCGGGTGGTGTAATTTAGGAGTTTCAAAACATTAATTGGAGTGTGGAATGCCTGATTTCAGTAGGGTCCGTTTTATTCATTCAGTCTGGGAAATACCCAAATGCAAGGTCCTAAATCCACCTCTTGCCATGAAGCTATAGTTTAATTTTGTTGTCATATTTTGGTAAATTATTAACACCTCAAATATTTATTAAATCTGAAACTTTTAAAGATTTTAATCTGCGAAATATTTCATAATAGGTAGGACACGAATCAACACACACATCAAATCAATCAATATATATATTGAACATACAATATGGTGTCATACAATATAATATACCAAATACTTTAATATATGAGGTTTTTATCATGCATCACCACACTGGAATCATAATATATTTATATAGATATAAAAAAAATATATATGATTGTTTTGTCATACATACATACTAAATACATACACTTTTATAAACATTGTAAATTATCTCATTAAACCATGGTTGTTCTTCTGGATCTGGTCATTTCCTGTCTTGGTCTTCACTCAGGGATGGAAGCAACACGATGAAGTGATATAAAAACTCAAAAGAACAATGGATTTAAAATAAAACATTCGATTAGACAAATTAGAAATTCTAATAATCAAAGAAAAAAATGGTACAGTCACCTGAGGAAATTTCTTTAGTACAATCTCTAACATATATATATATATATATATCTGCCTCTACCCCATGTAAACTGAACTCTAATGTTTATTTAATTACGTTGATATCTCCTTGCAGAGTTTTAATTCACCTTTCAATATCTCCTTTTGCAAATTCATTATTTTTGTCAGATGGACATATTTTCTTGAATCCTTTTCCAATATTGTAGAATGATTGTTTAAAATCGTTTACAGCATCATGTACAGGCGTTCTTTGAGTTTCCGGATGATGGTTTATGTCCATTCAAAAAAGGTGTGACATCATTTGCTTACGTTTAAATACACTTCAAGCTGATATCAATTTATATTCATGAAAATCGTCGTTTTTTAAAATCAGTATGCGGCCCATCTTACTGACATCGCATCTTATTTGTAATTAAATTGATATAGCATGTCAGTCGATCATGTATCTTTCGATACGTGACAGGTTCGTTTTTTTTCCTGTTGGAGGACATTTATTTCTATGAAAACCAGTCAAACATTCAAGGCTATAGATGTTGTTAATACTGTTTATTATAAACATAGAATTTACTTAAATATTTGTATCTATAAAGACCTTTATAAAGGGAAAATGTCTTAAAATAATTGTCAGAATGTAATGGATTTTGTAGAATTGTATACTCGGCTCTTATATTTATATATCCGAGTCGCCACCATATTCACTCAGTTATATATATATATATATATATATATATATATATCATGTATCTTTGAAAGTAATACATGACTGACCAGAGATCATTTTCCCAATTAGGTTGCACTTTTCTAAAAAGACCAGATCATCCAACTAAGAAGTGGTCTATCCCGCTATTTTAATAGCAGGGGGGAACTCAAGAACCACCTTTACTTTGTTGCATTCTGATGTTTGGAAAGATGTTTGAATCCCTTCAATGAATGATCTTCATAGGCCCGAACTGCTATCCATCATGTTTAATGACAAGACTATACTAAGTTAAATTGGGAATTCATCCACAAATTCCTTGAAAGTTCATCTGAAAAATAAATGGAAAAGGATGTCGAGTTATAAACCATTGTCCAAACATCCTCAAGCCCTCACCTTTCTTCCCTGACTCAGATAATGAGGTAATTGACGTTTTTAAAATTTATTAATTCCTCAGGATAGATTTATCACATTTAGTTTTGTATCACTGATGCAGCAGTTATCATCAACTCTCTGTTCTATTCAAAGCAAGGCTTGGAGTACAAAATGCTTCTGGTTAAAGGGTTTTTTTTCTCCAATTTCCAGAAACCTCCAGTTTCCAATCTTCTCATTTAATCAATTTTAAGTTCAGTGAAGGACATTTCACTTGATGCTAAGGGGTTCAGCCAATTTGGACGATTTTCAAAGATTGAATGAAATGAGGAGAAAATTGAAATGATGCTGGCACCAAATAGAAAGTTCTTAATGACAAGTAAAACCAAGAAGATTAAATGGGTGACCCATGGCCTACAATATACTAGTAAGCAAAAGCCTCCTTTTCTCCCAAACTCTGTCCAAAGAGAAAACAAGACATGTCTCCTTTCTGAAATCATTATTTCTTCTTCTTTGACTTTTCAATGAACTGTCTTCCTTTCCCTTTCTCAGTATTCAAACTTTCTCTTTTCTATTTAC